ATACCGCTCGTTTTCGCCGGAGGCGTTTTTCGTGGAACGAGAAAAAACCGCACGGCGGATAAAAAAAAAAAACCCTCCTTAAGTCTTTTGTGTGGTCTTTAAACCTTTGATCTTTCGGGAATCTTATCGGTTTCCATTTCTCCGAGATCTCCGTACGCGTATATATTATAATACGCGCCCGCTCTGTAGCCGCTTGAAGGGCTGTGCCGGCCTGCCCGTCATCGATTCGTCCGCGTCCAAAACTCCGAAAAGCGCGTCCTATCGGTTATTACGATCAATCGCACGCACGCGCAGTAGGTACGCATGTATTATGGTACTATAACGCCGATGTGTTTTTCGTTTTTCGTCCCCTTTACACACATATATAGAGGACCTAAATAACACAATATAATATAATAATATGTAATACGGGTAGATATAGGTATACGGAGGTTGGTAGGTTGGGTAGTTTTTATTTTTTTTTTTCGTGCGTGCGGTTTTATGTCATCTGCCGCCCGATTTAGGATCAGCAGAAGAAAAAAACGTCCTTTATACTCGCTTACACATACGCGATGTACGCACACAGGTATTATTATTGTCGCACGGGTACCCGCCGTTTTGTCCCCGCGACGACGACGTCGCGGTTTCCGCTTTGCCGACGGACCACAATGAGCGCATCATCTGCCGCCCCGTAATAGAATTCCATCGCCGCCGGCGTGTCCCCTTTTTATTGTATATATAGACAATAATAATAATAATAATAATATAAAATAATATCGCGGGGCGTGCGCGTGTGTATGTTTTTCCCTTCCCCCCGTTCTGTCGCCGCGCACTCCGAACAAACGACCGCGAGATCGCGGTTCCCCGATAGCGCACCCTGTACGTGTACATTATTCTATTATATTGTAATGCGCGCCTGCAGTATTTACACAAGGAGTTTTTTCTCGGAGATCTTGGCGACGGTCAGGACCGCGGCGGCGGCCTCTCGTCAGCTGTCCGGCACGACAATAATGTATTACGCGTGTTCGTTTTTCGGTTTTCGGACGCTGCCGGGTTTCGGTGGCCAACGAGTGGCGTAGTCGGGCGCAACACAGTTCCGGTCGGCGTTTTGCTTTTCGGACAATATCTCGTTGCGGTTTTCCAAACTTCGTGCCGCCGGGATTCGTGTTGTAATAATGTCATTGTCGTTGCGCGGTCGTTTTCGCGCATAATTTCGCACGGTTCGATCGGTCGAATTTCTTGAAAACGGTTCCTGTAAACGTTTCTTTACGGAGTCGGCCAACAGGAGAAATTTACGCGGAAATCCGCATACGACGTAGCAATAGTAGCACAATGCGCTCCCCGTGAACGGGTGGCGAACCAAAACTGTTGGTTGAAAAAGAAAAACTCAACGACGCCGGCTGTCCGACTTACATACAGCACGTTCCACGGGAGGCTCTTCGTTTTTCACAAATCAAATGTTAATATTATAAACCTACTTTTCAAAGGCCGTTAATGAGTGTAAACGTTAGAGGGCTTTTATCGTCTCCGAAACTTTTCGAACAAACTCGCAAATTCACGATGAGGTGTCTCGTTTAACAGACGATTTTTCAGCGAAGATAATCTAAAAAGTATTCCTTTCACAATGAACACGCTTTCAAAATGTTTAAAATTAAAAAGAAAAAAAAAAAAAAGTAGAAAACCGTAGCGGATGAAAAGTACGTTATTAATACAAAATCAGGACATTTCGAAATCAATAATGGAAAAAAATAACATACTTCGCACGATGGGTTGGCCATTCTGTTGTAAGCGAGAAGTCAGGAGTGTAGGATATAGGGGAAATTCGATGTATATCTGTACAAGTATGTATATCGTTTTCAAAACAAAACACGAAAATTGGGTGTGGTTTTCCTAATGTGCGGCAACCTTTAAAATATAGGGGTATATATATAAGTTTCGTTTTGAACAAAAATGCGATAATACCTATGTACTTAAAAACCGATATTGTTGTCAAATACATTTTATCGACTGTTAATTTGAAAATATATAGTTAGACGTACACATAATCGATACCACAAAAAAAAAAAAAATAAAAAAAAATAAAAATACATTGTACACAACGTAAAAATAACAATTTATAAACTGTACAACTCTTCATAACACAATCAAAACCAAAACCAATAGAAATTTAAAATATCACTGTGAACCCGTTTCCGTAAACTTGGGTTGGTTCTTGTTATTTAGCTACACCTAAAGTCTATACGCAGGACATTTTTACTCCCGGAAGTTTTCACTCACGGACCCACAATACGCGTACACAACACGGCGGCGTATTCGTTGCATCGAACGTTCCGTCTCGGGGTCCGTAAATTTAGTTCGCGAACCCGCTGCGCGTTCTAAACCGCATATAATAACGTGCGTTTATACTGCGAGATGTTTGCACAGATTCGCCCTGGGAAACGATTGACGATATTCGAACAAACCGATTTAGCTCACGTCGGCCCCAGAGCACGGCAGCTGCAGTGTTTTCCGGGCCAAACGAACGACGTTAATGCAATATGTGTGTACATAACGCAATAGCGTACCGGCAAAACTCGATTGCTATTGACCGTGATTTTAATTATTTCGTTCGGCCGAACATCCGAGAGTCAACGGAAACGTCCTCCGAGGCTCCGAATGCAAGCCGACGGGATCGAAATACGAACGTCGCCGCCGCCGCCGCTCGGGCCCCGCGAGCGACGTTTACCCCGGACTGCCGCGTGATTATTTTCGTCCACGAACCGTAATGCGTGTCATTTCGTAAACATTAATATGTATTTGTTTTGGTTTTTTTTTTTTTTTTTTTTTTGCAATAACTTGTATCGAACACATGTTTGTTTGCCAGTCCGGACGTAATGGGATGGTTTTTTTTTTTTTTCAGCGATATTATACTCGCCGTCGATCAGAGGAAATAATAATATTCTGCAACGGCTGCAGTGGTGCGACCGGGGTTCGTTTTCTGCGGGACCGTCACGAATTCACCGACGCTTACTGGACAGGGTCCGCCACGGTCTGGTAGTCCGTGTTAAGCGATTTTTCTCTATTAATATTTGATTTAATCCGTTTAAACGGTCATTGAAAACGATTCGAAACTCGACTGTAAATAGATACATTGAAACAATGTTTACTTATACGTAGTTTGAACGTCAAAGTCTTGAGAACATTGTGAAACGGAAAACAAATATTAACAATATTTTAAAATTGAATTTTCTCGGTTTACACTACGTACACTACGGCGTAGATGAATATACACTTAAAAAAAAAAAAAAACATACAACATCGTATTACAAAGTTATAATATGAATACAATTAACCCTGCATTTCATTATATGGTACCTACAGGTTAAAATGCAGTCAATCCACCCCATCTCTACACATTTATGTTCTTTAGATGATGTAAATGGCAAACCATTAATGCCGATACAAATTATATTTTTATTAGTTAAATAATAATAAAAAAAATAATAAAACCAGCATAACCGTACGACATAATATTCTGCACCAAGGGTAGGCGGGACCATATTGAGGGACAATGCATAGGGGAACAAAACGTAAATATGACTTTTTCCGTTAAGAAGTATACACGTGTTAACTATTAATATATGGTCGAAAAATCACAGTTATAACGAAACTAGGTATTTTCAGTAATTTCGGTATCACCGTATTAAGTTCTGAATGTACGATGGTAAGACGTAAATAGTGTAAGAAAACTGTGAGGTTTTTGGCACGAAAATGATATTCGTGATAATCCCTTACTATAATGTTATATCATATACGAGTACGTTCTATTGTAAAATATGCGACTCGGGTAACTGGTGACGTTCTTAATGAATTTGTACGCCACTCCATATATTTAATAACTATGTTTAACAATATATAATGAAATGCCAATAAATAAATAAATATTTACCGTTTTGTGTTAGTAAAACTACATTTTATTATTAGGGATGAGATTTTAATATCATAAAAAATCTCAAAAAATGCCCTTAAAAAATCCCAAAAATAATTTAAAAAACTAAAAAAATTAATTTAAAAATGACTTTAAATTTATTAAAAAAAAAAATTTATCACAAGTGTATTTCAACAACAGTATTAGTCTTTTATTATTAGAAATCGCGATTATGACATCAAAATCCACGCTAAACGATATTATCAGACGCCGATTTCAGCGATTTAAGATCTAGTGATTTTAAATATACTATAGTAGTTTTATCGTAGACGCTACCACTCGTTAACTGCTCGTATGTATTTTGACATTCCAACAATTGTTCGCCGATAATATAACAGAAATTGCGAGTACTTACCTTATAATTTGTTAAATTTAAATAAAAAATCTATATGTGTATAAAAATATAAATATAAAGTTTTTAATTCATATTTTGAATTTTTCGAAAATTCTAAAAACTCTAAAAATGCCCTAAAAAAAAAAAAAAATAAGAATATAACCTAAAAATTGTCAAAAATTGCCAAAAAATGTAAAACAAACTTTCTTATTCTCATTTAAAAGCACGTGGTGGGGATTTGTGTCCAGACGAACATTGCGCAGCAACTTTTGAAAAAAAATGCAAATTGCATCGAAATCTCAGATCTATACTTATAAGTTATAATCGCACGAAATACATTATTATGATCTAATATACCCTATTTTTTTTTTTTTTGTGTATTTTCAGGAATTTATCTAAAATAAACACATTTTAATAAAACATAAAAAGAAGGCAGTACCATTCAACCCTTACCTTCAATGTTATTTTTTATTTTTAATATTCAAATTTAAATCATGCAGATATTATGTTAATTCTTTTTTGTTTTTGATACTTTTATGTACCTTTGTTACCACTGTTCTAAAATTATTGAAAAACTTTGAACTCTATTCATTATTATTTATACATTGCAATTTTTTTATTTTTTTTATTTTTTTTTTATTTTATATTTATACCAATTGTATAGTTTTTTTTTTTTTTAATTTTATATACGAATAATATACAATCTGTTCCTAGGAACAATAAGAATATGTGAAAAATGAGTAAATAAAAAACATGATGAAATGAAGAGAGGAGTCACCCAGTGTTAACACTACCCTAACTTGATGGTTTTTTTTTCCTTATTTATATTGCTTATTTTTATCAAATAGTGAGGAGGTCTCGACACCATTTCCTTTTGAGCCTTCTGGGAGGATTCCCAGGAATAGTGAGAGTGGCAAGGTTCGAAATGAGAGGGTTGGAATGAGAAGGGAGTTTAGAGTGGAATCGTTTGTAAAAGGCTACTGCTTCTTCATGGATTGATTTCATTTTTAGATCGGATAGATAGATACACAAAATTAATCCAAAAATGTTAATATTATTATTTTACTTTACGTTAAATTGTATAACTATACTTAACTAATATATAATTTTACTTTACTATACTAAATAATTTACTTTGTGACTACATTTCTTTTGGCCAGTTTTTCAATTCTCGGATGAATGTTGCTCATAGGTAAACGCATGTCATCACTTACGTCCAAACGATTCCTCTGTTTATTTTTTATTACAAGTAGACTAGAAAATCCTTATTCATACAAATATGCTGTTGAAAATACTAGTTAATAACATAAGGCAATTTCCCGGAGTTGTCCTTCTGTACCAAAGTTCTTGAAGATATTCTGGGGCTTCTTCAACTTTTGCACAAAAGGGTTTCGAATTATTTTTTGAACACTGTTAACTTCGTTCCATTCCGGAAAGTAGTGAGTAAATTCAGTTTTGTCTAACTATTGTATAAAACGTTAACAATTATCGGACGCAGATTTTTGCGTTTTTTTCGATGGTGCTCTAGAAAAAACATTTCCAGGAATACACATAAAATTGAATTAAATGATTTTGTCCCGGGGGATGGGGGAGTTGGATGAGTCTGACTTTTTCACCGTTATCATTATAATATTATTTACATTTATTATTTATGTATACAAAATATAAATACAATTTTTATCGAAAAGGAAATGACATGGAATATACTATATTTTAAAGCTATATTTTTTTTTTCAAATGTCTACAGATTTTAAATCCGGGTCCCGATAATAATTAACAAACCTTAAGCGTACAAGTACGTTATTTTTTAATACCGTACGTGTTAATGTATATTGTTATCGATATTACCCACATGTAGTTATAATTTTGTTGTACTTTACACTTTTCGTGTGATTAGAATGAAATAACAAAAATCCATGCCTGTTCGCCGGCAATAATATCACTAATAAGTAATAATAATATTATTAAGAGATAACAATAATACAACCGCGGTCAGCGGGCTCGTGTGTAATATTATAATCTCTATCTTTTTCATAATATTATGTTATTAAAACGTGAGGCAATTTTTTATTTTTCGGACAGCTATATCCAAGGCCTACCGAATCGATTCGCTTTTACTATTATTTTTATACACAAGTGTATAGTTGAACCGTTTAATGAGAAAAGTTCTAAAAATTCGATTAAATAAAGAATTAATATTATATTAGAAATACGTAGCGACGTACCTGCTGACATGTCACATTCACGACCCCCCCTTGATCCTACGTCTACAGTCGCGTTGCCGAGAGGGAGTACGCCGTCTATTTTTCATCTCGAAATTTAACCCCTGGCTGACACGGAGTTTTTGGCATTTGTGTAACGAAAATTGAAATTAAAATTTTTTTTTTTATCATTATTTACAGGTTAGAAACGGTTATTATTTAATTTGTTCGTCACAGATAAGTGCCA